TAGTTTGATGGAAATGGGTGATCAGGGGGAAAACCCAGGGGATACAAACACACACACACAGTACAGGAAAGTAAGGAAACGAGAAAAACACTGGGTGAAGACAAAAGCTGATCAAAACTCAACGAATGACGCCATAGGGACAAACACACACACACACACACAGTTTGGTACTATCGAGCATCGATACACACATCCGTCAGAACGTCATTGCTGAATGTATTGTGTGTGTACATTGGGAACACAGATGTCCTCGATCGGAGATAACTGCTGTTGCTGATCGGTAGTGATGGTGATGGNGGATGTTATGGAGCCTAATCAACATTTGGAGTTTAAACTCACTCTACTTTGACAAACAGATTTTACCTAGTACGTGCATACACAAACACACACACACACACAATCTCGTCTCGAGTGAGTAGCGGATACTGGAGGTGTAAAAGTGAATAACATTCTGTTCAAATTGTTGTTTGGCCGATTGATGTTGAAATTGTGAAAGGTTCAGTAGCCTCGGTGGGATTCGAACACACACACACACAGGTACAAACACACACTATAGCCTAGAGATGTGTGAGATAGAGTTGTGACCAATTGTACGGGATGAGAACGCGAACTAGTACTGCATTATGAAGTTGGTTAATTTAACCAAGGAGACTAGCTTGAGAGGTGCATATTGAAGCATCTGTCTCAGAAAATCGATTGTACCAATGTAAAAACGAAGGAGATGAGTCGGAGCCAATTCGAAGCAGCTAAGTGGGGACGGCACACCTTAGCCACAATCGAAATCGGTTATCTTAGGATAGTAACATGACGGCAGCCGGGATTTCGCAGACATATGTGACGATCAAGCAGCCCAACAGGAGCAGTAGGTTCAGTGATATACGTGGACTGAATGAAAAGTTTCCAGATGCACAAAATGTTTTGATTGTTACACAATACAATAAGCTTTGCATTTTATCGAACTATGCCCCACCAGCGTTCACGCACACACACACACACACACACATTCCATGAGCATAAACCATTGAGTGAAACAGTTCGACCATGCGGAAGCGGGTAACCAACCTTCGACCAGTTCAAAGAAGACCTCCACTGCAGCAGCTGTTATTCACTCGTTTCGGACTCCACACATTATGTACTTGACAGCTGGTAACACAAAAAAATCATACGAAGCTATCTCTGGACTGTAGGATGGGTGACTAAATTCCTGAATGTGTTGACCAGCCAGAAAATCGCCGATAACATGGGACCTGTGTGCAGGTGCGTTGTCACGTTGCAGCAAGCTCCCCATTGCTCGAGTTCTTGGCCGATGTCTGCCAACAGCTTCCAGCACTTTCCGTTAACAGTATTTGGTGTCTGCGCTTTGCTGTATGAGCGGTACAGTAGCCGCATGACGGGTTTTAGTCACAAACACAGCCACTATCTGCTTTGTCGCACTATGATCGTGTCGGAATTTTTGAGGTGGCATCTCACCGACCGGTGTCCACTGAGCCAATTATTGCTTGGATCAGTACTGTAAACCCAGGTCTCATCACCACGGATGATCTTCCAAACTGCATGGGAACGTCCACCATCAAACCTAACAAGCATGGTGCAGCATCAATTCACCCCGAAACTGCTGCTTTCTATTCGTCACTGATCTGATGGGGGTTACCCAGCGTGCGTACAACTTTCCGAGACCGAGCTTCTCATGCAGGATGCTGAGGATCGATCCCGATGGCTTCCGCTAGCTGTGTCACTGTCGCTTGTGTTACCTTCATCCGTGTCATCGCTTGCAAAGCAACAATGTTGTCCACTGTGGTGACCTCCACAGATCGACCACACTGCATCGCATCATCATCCAGGGACGCTTGAATACCGCAACCAAATCAAATACAAGTACATCTTGAAGGCGCGTCATCACCCAAGGGCAACTCGTAAACGATCAACACTCTGCTGCTACTGCTTTAATCCACATTTGTAGCTCAGTCGATTGAGCTCCATTCTTACAGTTCGAGTCTACAGTGACCGTAGTATGACTTGTGAACTGTGCCCGGCTGTAATGATATCTGGTTCTGTGTGTGTGAGTTGCAATCACTGAACAATAAATAGATTCACAATCAGGGATTACAGTTCACATTTGCCTTTCCGGTCATCTGCACCTCCTCGTACTCGTTTACTGCGTACGCCAGAAACTCTCTGCTGTTCAAATTCAGACACCGAGCCAAGCAAAATGTAATTTTTGCATAGAATGCCTATGTTCGAATTTGAAGTCTGTGATAAGACTATGCAACTGACCTGTAATTGGTGGCATATTTCTTTAGCTCTCTGTGCACTACTTTAGCGACATCTTATACCTTTCCGGATACATGTGTGCGATAAAAAAGTCATTCTGATTGATGGATACTTAAAGAGTAGAAACTGTGTTAATGCTTTAATGTTGGTACCAGAAAAAAGTTGCACTAAATGGATGTGAATCTGGGTGATAATGACAAATATATATATATATATATATATATCGATCAAGAATTATCGATTGGTGTTAGCGGAACATGATGCAGTGCACTTTATCCACACACCCACCCACCGAACCTGATCACGTCAACCAACTCGCCACGCTTCGAAAACTTTCTACTTGATGGTAAGCACCCAGATATCGCTATGAGACTTGAAGAGTACATGGATCTGGTAACTCGAATGAGGCCACCATCCTTTGCAAAACATCGGGATTGGGTAGCGGGGCCAGTTAAAATGATGCCGAGCAAAATGGAAATGACAGCCGGACATCTTTATTTGATATCAGAGCAATTTGCTGTACAAAAAAATTGAAAACCACATTTAAATAAGCAGAGTTCAAGTTTCGACACGAAAGTTGTGATTTTTCGACATCATTTTTTGTTGCCAGAATCCGAGACGTAATTTAAGCAGTCCGGATTAAATAAACCGAGGATTTATACCCAGGGAGAAGATTCATCTAGCAACTTGCCGTGTGAAGTTCACAATTCACTGCAAGAGCATCCGTGTTTCTCCCTGTCGTCATCCCTCCACCTCTCTCTCCCCCCCCCCAAAAAAAAAA